CATTTATGTATATTTATTGAGTGCTAAAAGCTGTATTTTAATTACTCAAATTAATGCAAGTGTAATGTTAATTCCAGCATGAGAACATGAGGTTATGGAGTATGACACCACTAAAAGCGATTCATTAATTAGGTCATTAAACATAAACAGAATTAAAAATGAACAAAATAATCAAGCCTCACAAACCATGTTACTACTTAGATTACAACTTGTTTGTTTTGATAACAATATTTCATGTCATGATATGAAGCATAGTTGATCAGATAAAACATCATTGTTAAATTGCAGTGATCAACTGTGTGAAGAAAAATATATGCATCATTTCTTAATTATGAAAGCTTAATAGCTTTTGACCAACTCTAATGGCCCTGTATAATGCATAGCACAAGGTGTTAATTTAATGATTTAATGAATAATTGTACAATAGCCTATTTGTTTTCAAACAAAAATTAAAGCTTTGCTCCTTCATTCTATTTTTCTACATTCTATATTTCTATCTTTTTTCTCTGTCTCTTTCAATCATAGGAACAAAGGTAGAGGATGGTAAATGTAAGTGATAAAATGGCAACAGGCATAGTTTTTATGAGTCTGAGTACTGCCCAGAACTCCTATGTTGGAAATCTATTCCTGACTATTACCAAATGGGACCAATTCTATACCACAAAGCCAAGACATAAACAAGAATGGTACCACTGTTTACATTCCTAGTTTTAGAAATGTGGAAGTTGTGCAGATGTCAGATATGTGACTAAAATATTAAGCATGGAGAGCTCCAAAACATGTTTTTTTTCTTCTTCTTTTTTGCACTCAACTCTGCAAGGGAAGGCATGGAATCACAAAAGAGCCATTCTATTTACCATGCATTATAATATCAAGCCATACTATTTCAAACAAATCTTTTTTAAAGAAGGAAATAAAGAAGATAATAAAACATTAACAAACTATATGCTTTTAAGGTAAAATAATACATTTTGCTTCATTAATAGCTTTTTTTTTTGTAACTACACTTTCTCAGCACATTGTAAATAAAAGCTTTTATGTTACAGAAACTTTAACGCCTCTTCCTTGCTGTATAGTGCACCTTGTTTGTCCTGTTGACTAAACATTCGGTAAAACTGAGAGATAAAAAGACATAGTTAATGAAGCTTTATCTTGATTTAACACAAGTCGAGCTGAGAGCGCTCTCTTAAATGATTTAATATTGAAATAATAGTTACAGCAAAGAAGCTGGTGGCAAAATGATTACAGTCAATCATGTAAGGTGGAAGTAACCATAGAAAGCATTGATAGAGGCTTTGCACAAGCAAATTATAATGAATTACGATCATTGTTGTCCTGTAATTTGTTTTCACAAGAGAAAGGTTCACGTGATATTTCCATTACTCGTTTCATTTCTCATAATTTAAATTTACAACAATATGTACAGAGCAAAAGTGTGTGCAACAAACCAATATTGATCTCTTAAAGGAATCAATTCGCCTTTCCACCCTTTTTGGGGTATAGGCGGTCAACCAGAGCTCGCCTCTATCTAGGGCTTTCCTCTCAACCTCAGGTGTGACCCATCTTTTTGCAGTTCATGTCAAGGTCTCGACGCCAGGTCTTTCTTGGCCTTCCTTGGCATAGCTTCAGAAACGTCTTAAAGGAATAGTTCACCCAAAAATGAAAATTTGCTGAAAATTTGCTCCTCTAAGCCATCCAATATGTAAACAGATTTGGAGAAATTTAGCATTACATTATTTGCTCACCAATGGATTATTTGCAGTGAATGGGTGCCGTCAGAATGAAGTTCAAACAGCTGATTAAAAACATCACAATAATCCACAAGTAATCCACACTACTCTAGTCCTTCACTTAATATCACGAGAAGTGAAAAGCTGTGTATTTGTAATTAACAAATTCATCATTAAGATGTTTTTAACTCCAAACCGTTGCTTCTGGCCAAAATACGAGCCCTCTATCCATAAAATTGCATTTTCCATTGAACAAGTCATCTCATTTGAATCAGCTCTGTTTACAAGTGAAAACAGTCAAAGCTTAAACAAAGGTTTAAACAAATATGTCGGTGGATTTTGATGTGAGAGGACAACAGGGGATGGACATTTTCACCAGATGAAGCATTATTATGGATTATGGACTTGTATTTTTGCCAGAAGCAATGATTTAAAGTTAAATCATTAACTTGTATGGATTATTATTGTGGATTATCGTGATGTTTTTAATCAGCTGTTTGGACTCTCATTCTGATGGCACAAAATCTGTTCTGATGAAGAAACAAACTCATCTTGGATGGCCTGAGGACGAGTACGGCTTAAGCAAATTATCATTATTATTATTATTATTTGGGTGAACTATTACTTTAATAATGTATTCCTCTCAAATATCTTCTTTAGCAAGGTAAAAAAAAAAATTGTAAATCAGTAGGTACCATCATGGAGTTGTACATGCCTTTAAAAAGTTCATTAAACCCAAACGGTAGCCCAATTGTTGTGTTTTTATAAGGTTACAATTCTGGATTGGTGCCTTGAACAAGGACGGAGCGAAATTAGAACCTGTTCCCTAACATTCAAGCATCTCTGGTGTACATTTCAAGACCAGAAAACAAGAAAACTGTCAAGCTGTTCAGCTGAGATGCATTCAGTTTATTATAAATATACACTACCACTGAAAAATTTTGGGTCATTTTTGAAATGTTTTTTAAATAAGTCTCTTATGCTCAACATGGCTGCATTTATTTAATCAAACGCAAAGCAAAAACAGTAACATTGTGAAAAAGGTTACAGTTCAAAATAACTGTAATGTTAAATGCTATTCTTAATATAATTTAAAGTAAATTTAATTCCTGTGAGTCTTTAGCTAGGTGCTGATCCACCATCTGGTCTGAATACATACTGGATCCGGGTGACTGCGGTGAAAATCCATCTTTGCCAGCAGGAATAAATTACATTTTAAAATATATTAAAATATAAAATTGTAATAGTAGTTCACAATATTACTGTTTTTGCTGTACTTTTGGTCAAATAGCTAAATGCAGCCTTGGTGAGTATGAGACTTTTTTTTAAACATCAACAAAAAATTATTCCAAACTCTTGATGGGTAGTGCATATATTAAAATGTATTTACTAATAACTACTAGTACTGATAACTCTAATAAAAAATAGAATATAATATGAATGCAATTTTATATTGATATTTATTTTAGTATAATAATATAACATTAACTCTATTGTATTGTATAAGTACATGTAATAACATTTATCTTGCATTAAATTAAATAATTGTAAATAGAAGATTTTTTAAAAGATGAACATATGAAAAAACATATGAACATGGGCTTTTAAAGTGATGAAATCTTGAGATATCTCCAGGATTCATTCAGTCTTCAGGCTCTTTGTACATATCAATAATCAGTGAACAGGATATAAGCTACTAAATCCCGCCTAGGGACCCCCACCCTCAGTGACTTACGGTCCGTGCACTCAGTGACCCGAACACATATGCTCAGCGAGAGCTGTGCCCAGATTGACCAAATCTGAGGTTTCTGTAAGGCTCAGACTCAAGTCTGGAGCCATGTGATTTGCAGGAAGGGGAAGGAGACCCCCTCCCTCAATCACTCTCTCCCCCCCAACCCAAACCTGCCCCTGAGTGGCCCCTGCCAGGCTCTGTTTCCAGGAAAGGGGCCTAGTGGACAGGCGCAGGGGCCTGCATCAGGGAGAGCCTGGCTCATTGAGAAAAACAAAAACAGAGAGGGGAGGTGGGAAGACTCTCCCTCCTTACATAACAGTCTCTAGCAGTGAAAAAAAAGCCTCTCTCTCTACTACCACCGTACTTGAAACCCGTCTGTCTGCTCTTTACACAATGCCACACCCTATAGTTGGGCTCTGCTGGAACTTCAGCATTTGGGACGGTTTTATTTATTGGACAGAAAAGATACTCTTCCTTTAATTACTTATTTTAATTGCCAGCTGGATGCTCATTAGATGCATTGAGCATGGAAGTGACACGCACGCCTCAAGCTTGCAAAACTCTTTGCTGCTGTGCATGAATTTTAAGATGACAACATATAATAGCTGGAGGTAAACTGGGTTGTGCAATGCATATGTGTAAAGAACATGTAGTAATATTTATTAGGGTATTGGGGTTCAGAGGCACATACGATGCTCATACTAACAGTCTATGAATTTTGACACTTTACTGCCTCCTTGTGGTTACACTAAAAAATGAAAAAGCGAAAAATAGTACAGTAGACCATTTATTATGTAAAGATTGACAAAGTAGCTCTATGAGCAGTTTCGTGTTTTCAATATTTGTATTTAGTCTTTTAAAAGGCGTTTTAATTCAAAACACCTTGCAAATAAGAAACATAGCAAGCAATTTATGATAACAGGCAATGATATTCACAGTACACAATGCTAAGTGTAAGTTAGTGAAAAGTGAAATTTTATAAAAATATTATAAAGTATGTTAAAGCATTTATAAGTATGTTTAATGTATTAGACCAACTATAAAATGTTTGACCACCTCGGGTTGAATAGGATATATATATAGGATATGATCTGCTTTGCATGTTCCCGAACAGGAACTGAAGCAGACAAAAATGTCAACATGTCTACAAGAACACCGATACAACAAACCAAGAAAATAGTCATTGTCAAATTAACGACTCAACATATAATGAGTGATGCAGATGATTCTGATATTCATCTTCATAAACATTTTAATATTTTGATATGGTGCTCGGTTATTATTGGTAGTCAGTTATTATTAATTGCTCTGATTACTAGCGTCAATTTTGAAAACCGTTTTTGCTGCTTAATATTTTTTAGTATTTTTTGTCAGGATCCTTTGATGAATAGGTATTTTCAAAGTAAGGTAATGTAGATTTCATGCATTCATTATGAATTAGCATACATGTAAAATAACAGTATATTATAATAATGTATATTATTTCAATATAATGTTACAACGCATTTAAAAATGTCATGATATTCAGCACTCAGTTATTTTTTTTACTTTAGGCAATTACTTTAATTTCCACAGGATGAATGTAATATATAATCAGTCAATGAACAAAGATAATTGTGAACACATTAGCAGCTCATATTTTAACATCCAATAAACACACAATGGAATAACAAAACAAATGAATCCAAAAGGCCAGAGTTATGAATAATTCGTACAGCAAAGCATAAATTGTATATCTTAAACTATTACCAGTGCATGCTCAAAAATGATTACCACCAAAACTAGAGCTCAATTATATACACAGTGTCAATAGGAAACATTAGCCTAATTTCTTTAGGCAAATGAGTATTTTAATAAAACTTTCTCAAATCCAGAAAATACACATCGTTCCTTCCATTTTTCATAGCGATTTAAAAAGGGTAAATTATAGTTCCTAATAATATAATTCCTCTCAAAGCATTTCTCATGTTTAAATTAAATCATTTTGAATGACTTTTTACAATACAGATGTCAATGGAGACACATCAATGTCAGGAATAATATGCTCTATTATATTAACTAACATTTGACTGAAGGAGACTGCTGAGGTAACAGGGTGAACTGAATTCTTAAAAGTAATAAAATAAGAATATGCAGGCTATATACAATTATGACTTAACAGGGTTCATAAAAACGCTTCAGTGCAAATAGGTCACATCTGGATGGATTAATTATCCTATGAACTCTCAAATAATGTTATCTAAACTAGACTTTTGCACTGCATTTTTGCATTTAATGATGAGATCTTAAATAGAAGTGCTATATATAGGCCTGTATGTTAGTTTTCACAAAACTACCACCCTAAATCCTTTAGCTGGCTTGTTATCTTTGGAAATAACATCTCAGGAAGCTCAAACCCTGTCAAAAGCAACCCACCCAAAATGTGAATGCCTTTATATATTATGGCACTCCAAACACCAGCATTATTTACATTACTCCATTTTTTTTTTATTATAATTTTTTTTTTTTAAATGAATTCCACCTTCATGTGGAAAACAGTCTTTCCCCTCACCAATCCCTCATTTACAGACATTTCTCTTAATTATCCACATTCAAAAACGTGATGAAAGTGACAGTGTCTAAAATGATTTATATGGAATATATATCTACGCATTGCAACATTAGAGAAGGTTTTGTGGCTTGAAGTTTTGTACATTTACAAACATGTCCGAATGCACTTGTTGATCCCAGTCTGGGAAGCAAGCAAAGATCATCCTTGTGACATTTTAGGGATATATACATGCTGTTCTTATTCATAAAGACTTGAGGAGACCGTCTTAGAACTCCTCATGTACGTTACGGGCATAGTCCATGAGTTTGCTGCCAGTGAAGTACTCGCTGTATTTAAGGATCTCCTCTAGTTCCAGGTTGTGGTTTTGGTTCTCATCCGCCACAGCAATCATCTGCTTGGCTTCATTCAGGGCGTTGTACTCATTCATAGGGTCCATGTATTCCTGTTTGACAGAAGGAATATCAGCAAGGCACAGATATTCATTCAAATGAGATGCTATAAATGTATTCTTATCCTTTAACAGCACTCATGAAAGAGGACCAACCTCCAGCTCTTCCATGGTTACAATCATATCATGGTTAGCGTCAATGACTTCTTCAAACTCCTTCTTCCTTTCACGAACCCAGTCGTCATCGATGTCTTGGGCCTGTTGATTCTCCACAGTTCCCACGGGAAGGGAGATAAATTCAGCAAGAGTCAATTTTCCATCTCCATCTTGATCTGTTTAGAAAACATATAGGGTTTGTTTGCCAATAAGAATCACAAGAAATGTGTTGCCATTTCTTGGGTATGAATTTCAGATTTATATGCTTACCAAGATCTCGGACGATCTCCTTGACCATGTATCTCAGCATGCCTCTGCTGTGCTCTGGATGCAGGAACGAGAGGAACTCCTCTTCATTCAGCAGCTGGTCAGCTGGAGGGTTATCTGCCTGGAACCAGCGATCCTTCAAGCTCTCCAGAACCTCCTGAGCTGTAGTGAGGCCATATTTTATTCATATCATTTTAAATGGCTTTGTTATGAGTACTAGACCATATCAGGCAAACATCTTCTACATTGAAACTTACTTTCTTCATCCACTTTCAATTCTTCATTGTTTTTTATCTTCTCAGCTACTTCTTTTTCATTAAAACCTTTGCTGGCCAAAAACTTCACACGGTATTCATCCCAAGTTACATGTTCTGCGAGAGAACAATTTGAGCAGATTCAATTGAAATTGGCAGTCAAGACCATTGTTAAGTGTTATGAAATCATCATGCCAGATGTCAAAAACAGGATACTTATTATTTTGCTCTAGTAAAACACAGGAAACCTTTTTAACTACAAATCATGTTTAAACTTACCTGAAATCTATTTCAACATATTTCTACTTGACAAATAGTTTTATTATGCCATTGGTCTAAATAACAACATCCACTTACCATCCCCATCAGGGTCCACGGCACGAAAACTGAGCTTGTTTTCTTTAACGGCCTCCTGAAAATGTTCTTCTGTTTTCTCCATGATCCAGCGCTGCATTTCTTTAGCACTGACACTCCTGTCTTTATTAATATCCACCCTAGAAACCGAGAGTAAAGGTTTGATGATGCAGCTATAGGCACGATTAGGTGAAATTAGGTGATAAGATATTTATGGCATCATCACTTTAAAGTAATCAATCATTTGCTTAATGCATAGGATTGATTGTTTTTAAGGTCAGCATGAAACGGAAATTCACCCTTTTTTCTAAATGCATCTTACTGTGAACAATACATCCATACATACGTTTCATTCTTTTTTATTTATTCAAATTTTGTTTAGCTTGTAATTTAATCAAAATATCATAACCCAATCTTCCGACGAAGATACCAGACTTCTCTCTGGTGATGTATGAGGGACTTGTTCTTTTGACTGCAAGCTTGCATTAAGAGCTGCCTCTATCCAATCAACAGAACCCCGCCTTACATTTTTTCTATGCGCTTCACTCAGATGTATGTCACATTACAGAAGTCATCTGTCATCTACTTCTGTTTCATCACAACTTGCAATAATTGCTCACTGTTCATTGGGTTAAACTAGAAATGCCTTTAGAATGACACCCAAAGCACATCATGGGAAAATCGCATAGTTTCCACAGCTGTGTACATACTTGGTAAAGATTTCAATAAGTTTCTTCCTGTTCCGTCTGGGCTCGGAGTCCTCCTCAAACTCCTCCATCTCCTTCCCCAGAAACACCTCCTGATGAAAGTCTTTATTGAGGTGACCGTCCATTTCCATCTTCACACCGTTCAGATGGTCAGGTGGAAGGATCTCGTTGTCCTCTTTGCTGTTGGGGTGTTTGTCTTTTAACGCTGACATATTTGCCGGCCTGGCCTGAACATTCAAAGCCAGCATTGCAAATACTGCCAAAGTTGAGGTGCACAAAAGTTGAGGCTGAGATCTTCTCCGGTTAGACATGGTTTTACTGCTTAAACAGATGTAGGAACATTACGAAAATAAAAATAAAAATCACATTAAAGCAAACATATATGCGTATATATATATTAACACACCAGTCTTAATTATTTGCTGGTTTTAAATGGATTTTGAGCACTTTAGCATGGTCAGACTGGGAAACCAGCTTAAATCAGCTTTTTTTTTATATTGAGAGCAATATCAAATATGAAAGACTTCTTTAGGACGCGGTGGACTGACAGAATTATACCCATTACTTTATTAGTAAGCGTTTAATATTAGCCTACTCAGTACTGAATCAGTATCAGCACATAATGTTTGACAACACCTGTTTCAATGCAGCTTGTGAACGGAAATAAATAACAAGCTAACGTTACCTACCTGTACGTTTGAACGGTCCTTTCCAAAAAGTAAGTATCAGATGAATGAACAGAAGCCAGTGGCCTGCTGTATTTAAAGCAGCTTAAGCGGACTGTTTATGTACACGTCGCCACTCGAGACCAAACGCTGCTCGCTGGAGCGGTTTATGGCCCTGAACGCGATGTCCTCCCTCTCTGGACTCAGATAACACACAAACACACACAGGACAGACCGATGACCGCAAGAGTTCACGAGGACTTACACCAGGAAGGCGTTGAGCAAAGAAACATTGCTACGTTGTCAGTATCGCGTGTCTTCTTCTTGTGTAACATTAGGTGAGGGATAACGCGGATACCGCGCACATATCGCCATCTACTGTACCAGCAGACCAATGCCTATGAAATATACACTGGGACAAATGTCTGTTTACCTTTCATATCAGTTTTTCTCTCTCACCATCTGTGCTGAAAGCCGTACTTGTTTAGATATCTCAGACTCACATTAGCTTCTTGTTATTCTCCATTGGGGGCCTGTTGAACAGTTACAGAAAATACATACAGTTTTAATTATGAACATGATGTGCTTGAGAATCCATGATGCATCACATACTAACAGTCCTGGACCTGGTGCAACGATTAAAATGTGGTGGCCGATAGACCCTGAGATTAATCAGTCCCTAGTTGTGCTATTTTTCTGTGTGATGGAGAAGTACCTGCGCACTAGTGTGCTACCTTTGCCCAGAGCAGAAGAATGAATAGTTCAAATGAACTAAATAGATAAAATAGTTAGGATGTTCACCAAGGCTGCATTCATTTGATCAAAAACACAGTAAAACAAAACAATAATACTGTGAAATAATATGAAATATTTAAAATAGTCTCAGAGAAATCAAACAACTGGTATAGAACTGCTTTAAAGCAATGTGATGTAAAAGTGATGTTTGACCAGCTGACTGATCTGGTTCTTTTAGAGAAGGTCTGAGCATTTCAATGAATTTATATGGGGTCATCTAATAACATGAAATGCCTCCATCTGCATGTATACATACTGAAAGTATTAGAAAAATATAGAACAAACCATATTTTTTTGTATCATACTTACCCCAAATTTTTAAACTGTCCCATCCCAGGAATAAATTACAATTTATAATATGTTAAAATTGAAGACAGTAATTTTAAATTGTAATAATTGTTCATAATATTGTTGTTTTACTGTATTATAACACATTAAAACAACTATATATATAATATAATATAATACAAAACAAAGTGCAATTTGTATATTGATTTAATATACATGACATTTGCATATTAAGTTAATATACATAAAAAACTATGGGGTTCCATTTGTGTCAAAAATGAGTCGACTGCTTTGTGTTTTGTTAGAAGACTGACTTATTACAGGTGAAATTTTGCCAATACCTGCTTTACTGGACGTACAGTGCACAAATATGTTTAGAAAAAAACTACTGTAATTCACCAAAAAGGCTTTTTCATGTTCCAAAGGTTGTAGTATGTTCCTAGATACATGACTGACTTACTATGTGTGAGATTTTGACAATACCTCCCGTCATATATGTATAGTACACAATTATTTTCATAAAAAAATACTGTAGTACAACCTTTGGAACATGAAACAAAACAAAAAAACCTATTGGTAAATTACTAGTGGGCAAAACTCACTAAATATAAGACAACCTTTGGAACATGATAAAACCCACTTGGTGAATAACTGCAGGTTTTTTAAATAACTATTTGTGTACTGTACATACAGTAAGGGAGATATTGGCAAACTCTCACCTGTAGTAAGTCAGTCTTGTAAATAAGAAAACACTACAACCTTTTTCTAAAAATATTTGTGCACTGTACATACAGTAAAAGAGATACTGGAAAATCTCACCTGTAGTAAGTCAGTCTTGTAACTAGGACTGTATTACAAGCATTAGAACATTAACAAACCCTTAATTGATAAATTACAGTAATTAATTTTTTTTTCATTTGTGTACTGTACATACAGTAAAGAAGATATTGACAAAATATCACCTGTAGTAAGCCAGTCTCATAACTAGGAATGTACTACAACCGTTTGGAACATGAAAAAACCTATTGATAAATTACTATATTTTTTCTACAAATATTTTTGTACTGTACATACAGTAAAGGAGGTATGAGCAAAATTTCACAAATCATAAGTCAGTCTTGTAACTGCAAATGTACTACAACCTACAAATAATTTTTATGAAAATAATTGTGTACTGTACATAGGCCTATATGATGAGAGATACTGCCAAAATATCGCATGTCAGTATCTAGGAACATACTACAACCTTTGGAACATGAAAAAGCCTTTTTTGGTGAATTACAGTAGTTTTTTTTATTTT